AAACAGGTGCGTGTGCATTAGTCTCAATCAACAACAAACAGGTGCGTGTGCATTAATCCCAATCAACAACAAACAGGTGCGTGTGCATTAATCCCAATCAACAACAAACAGGTGCGTGTGCATTAGTCCCAATCAACAACAAACAGGTGCGTGTGCATTAGTCCTAATCAACAACAAACAGGTGCGTGTACATTGCATGTGAGTGTTACTTAAGGACCTCATGTGGGCTCTGTGCGCTGGGGGAAACATTGTTTGACATCAGGGTTTAGGGTTGGTTTTTAACCCTAAACCCGAATTACTATACAGAGCTATACGTAGAAATGCCTCGATGGTATGTTTCGATTAGTTTGATAACTATCTGCGTTTTACCTCTCAGACAAACCATCGCGAGAGATCTTAACATCTGCGTGTCCCATTTAGTACAACCTTACTAACTCACGCACCTTATACCACAATTATACTAAATCTCTCCTTTTATACTCATGTGGTTGTGTTTGCCATGACAGGAGCTGTGTGGGTTGGCTGCGCGTGTGTGTGGCCTTGAGTCGCTCAAGTACATCGCCAATGTCCTCAATGACCTCAAACCAACATTCCTGGCCATCTGCCCCAGCACCACACTCGTCAAACTACACGCCTTCTACAAAGAAACGGTATCGCCCATATCTGTTCACAAACCCTAAACTCTAAACCCTAAACCCTGAACACATATATCTGTGGGGGGGTGGGGGGGGGGGGCATGGCACGCCCGTGCATGAGTGGGATATGTTTAGTTAAACAGTAGCATAAATAGTAGCTTATACAGTGTTTTAGTTTACGGATATGTTTGGTGCCGTTGTCCATCGCAGTTGATGGTGTCATGTGTCTCTGTGTGTTCTGTTGTTCCAGTTGTTATGTGCACTCGTTAAGCGGTGGGTATGTTGATGGACTGAGTGATTGCGGTGTGTAGTAGTGCGTGTCATATGTCTCTCTGTGTTCTGCTGTTTTAGTCGTTGTGTGTACTCGTTTGGCGGTGGGTGTGTTGATGGACTGAGTGGTTGCAGTGTGTAGTAGGGCGTGTCGTGTGTCTGTTTTGTAGACCTAAGTTTATCGTCCCTTTTAACTGTGTGTGATCGTGCACGCACTTCATAAACGCAATCACACTAATGCCCTGCCATAGACGTAGTCGTAGTACGACAGTGTGTTTCAATGCATCTGCTCCCAAGCGTACTCAGCCTACAAAGTACTCCACCATTATTTGTACAAACCCTAAAACCCTAAAACCCTAAAACCCTGGCCACACTGGCGCCGTTTGTCGACACCAACACACTTCGCCCGTCCATTGGGCTGTGCTGTTTTGCAATGCCAATGGATGGGAGCGCAGGTCAATCAGATCGATGACTTGGTCGCGTACTGCTACCGCAACATCGCCACTAAACTCATGCGCTATGATCTGCCGTTGAGTGAAATGAATGCCATGAGGTGTGGCTGTGGGTGTCTGTGTGTCTGTGTGTCTGTTTGTCTGTCCACTAAACTCATGCGCTATGATCTGCCGTTGAGTGAAATGAATGCTATGAGGTGTGGCTGTGTGTCTGTGTGGCTGCGTGTCTGTGTCTGTGTCTGTCGTGTGTGGTTGATAGTTCAGTGGTGGCTGTAGGTGACTGCTGTTTGTTGTTCGTACATGTTGTGCTTCCATTGATATGCATATAAGCGTAATATGCATGTACGGGATCATATGCATAATATGCATGTGCATAAGCATATGCATGATATGTATGTACATCCAGCGACTCTGTCTGTGCACCACACCAGAGTACAGGCACGTCCCTATGGCGAGTGTGGTCTTCTCGATATAAGTTCGTTGATGTAAAGTTTCGGTTGTGGTTAGGTTGGTGATGGGCACACACTGAGATGTACCTTCTCGCACTACCTCACCACCTATTACCTACTTTGCGGTTACTTACTCTACGACCACCTACTATACGGCTATTTACTATTTAAAAACCCCTTATGGCAACACAGCAGCGGTTGTGGTCGACTGCACCCGACTGGCTTCTATAAGTATAATAGAACATAATTATATTGATACATTACATATATGACAATATATATTAAAACATTATATACAAACACTTTTGTACGGATGGTGCATGTAGCTGGAATTTGCAAACACAGACAAACATATAGTAGTGATTCATACAAGTAAAATAGAATATTATGCAAATACATTATATGTATATAACACATTATATGTAAAAAGGTTATAGATAAAACCATATATTTAACATGTTTTTATAACATATATACAGACAATATATTAAACATTCTTTGTGCGCACCAGATGGGATCTGCATGACATTTCCACAGAGCAGCACAAGTACGTTGACACCACCATCCGGCAGTGCCAGCAGTTCAGCGACCGCCTAACCCAACTGGGCTATGAGAAGATCCCGCCTGTGGTACAAGAACACGTGTGGAGTCAGGTAAGCCAAAACCTTAAACCGATAAACCCTAAAACCCTACAGTCCTACAAACCCTTTTTGAGAAGTAAACCTGTGGTACAAGAACATGTGTGGAGTCAGCTATGTAAAGGTTTTAGGATTTCCATAAGGCACACCATAAATACCGCTATTTATGTATACCTAAAACCTTTAAACTTAAACCCTAAACCCTAAACCTTAGCCTAAACCGTCGTGTTGCACAGCCTCTGTATATGAAGGTTAATGCTCGGTGACGGTGAAATTCGCTCGGTTTGCAGTTCTGCACTCACGTCCTAATACGTATCTAACCCCCTAAACTTTAAATTCTAAACCCTAAACCTCTAGCGCTAAATGTGTTGGCCGTTTCGAATTCGGGTTGTGACATTCCAATGCAGACTATACCGATTCTAAAACCCTAAACCCTACAAACTATTATGGTCAATGTCTTATTTGTCGCTGGCGATGCACTGGCTCATGTGCATGTGTACTGCGTTTCTATTCATAAACCAATAGATAGTAACAGAACCTCTGTGCATTTATAATCAATTTGATAATAACAGGACATCTTTCCATTTCTATTCCTAATCGTAAAATAACAGGTCATCTGTCCATTTATATTCCTTCTTTTATAATATTAACGCATCTGTCCATTTCTATTCCTAATCGTAGAATAACAGGTCATCTGTCCCTTCCTATTCCTATTTTTATAATAACAGGTCATCTGTCCCTTTCTATTCCTATTTTTATAATAACAGGTCATCTGTTCATTTCTATTCCTATTTTTATAGTAACAGGTCATCTGTCCCTTCCTATTCCTATTTTTATATTAACAGGTTATCCGTCCATTCCTATTCCTAATTTTATAATAGCAGGCCATCTGTCCCTTCCTATTCCTATTTTTATAATGACAGGTCACCTGTCCATTTCTATTCCTATTTTTATAGCAACAGGTCATCTGTCCATTTCTATTCCTATTTTTATAATAACAGGTCATCTGTCCCTTCCTATTCATATTTTTATAATATTAGGTCATCCGTGTGACCATGTTCATGTTCATTGAGGGCTTTTCTAGTGCGCGGCGTTGTTCAAACGAGGGCCGTGCGATGATGATGTTGGATCTCAAAACGTTTGTGCCAGTGCTCGAGTCACTCACCACTCTCAGGCCCATTCCCTATGTGAAGGTACGCTTACAACTAACGCTAACGCTGACACTCGCATTAGCACTAACACTATCGCTATCACTCGCACTATCAATCATACCAACACTATCACTATCACAATCACTATCACTCACACCAACTCTATCACTATCACTATCACTTACACCAACACACACTATCGCTATCACTCATACTATCAATCACACTAATACTATCACTATCACTATCACTATCACTCACACCAACACACACTATCACTATCACTCACACCATCAATCACACCAACACTAACACTTACACTCACACTATTACCACGACTACCACTATCAATAACACTATCACTTTCACTTTCAATATCACTATCACTATCACTTTCACTCACACTATCACCATCACTATCACTATTTCTTTCACTCGCACTATCACTCATACCAACACTATCACTATCACTATCACTATCACCCACACTATCACTATCACTCACACTATCACTAACACTCACTATCACTCCACCAAACAACGTATGAGTCAGTACTTACATGGTGGGTGATACCAACCAACACCTCTCCACTAAACCCCTACACTCTAAACCCTAAACCCTAAACCTTAAAACATGCATGTTCAGTGTTTGAGTTCGCAAAAGCAGCGAGGCCCCACACGTTCAAATCTATCCTCTCCGTCCGCGACGAGAAAATTCTTGATTTCGCGTGTGTATGTGTGTGTGTATGTGTGTGTGTTCCTATTGTGTGTGTGTTCCTATTGTGTGTGTATATGTGTGCTTTTTGTGTGTGTGTGTATGTGTGATTTTTGTGGGTGTGTGTATGTGTACACATTGTATGTATATGTATGTCTTCCTATTATGTGTGTATGTGTGTGTGTGTGTGTTTTAGTACTTATTGTGTATATGTATGTGTTTCTATTGTGTGTGTGTAGTGTGTGTGTACGTGTACTTATTGTCCGTATATGTATGTGTTTCTATTGTGTGTGTAGTGTGTGTGTACGTGTACTTATTGTCCGTATATGTATGTGTTTCTATTGTGTGTGTGTAGTGTGTGTGCATGTGTACTTATTGTCCGAATATGTATGTTTTTCTATTGTGTGTGTGTGTACTTGTGTATGTGTTCCTATTTCTTGTGTATGTATGTGTGTACTTGTTTTGTGTGTGTGTATGTGTTCCTAATGCTTCTGTATGTATGTGTGTACTTGTTTCGTGTGTGTGTATGTGTTCCTATTGCTTGTGTATGTATGTGTGTACTTTTTTTGTGTGTGCATGTGTTCCTATTGCTTGTGTATGTATGTGTGTACCTTCCTTCGGATTCTTTTGTCGGCCGATTGCCTGCTGTAGCACTCCAAAGCAACAAATTCCATCGGCCTGAATCCTCCACTGCAGACAGTTAGTACTCATCATATCTCTCTGTTGTTTGTTGGGTGTCGTTGCAGCCAGTGGAGCTGTTCATTAAGGCGTTCTACCTACCTGAGCCTGCCCTGGAGGAATGGTTAACCGAAAGCACAGTCTACACCAAACGCCAACTGGAGACATTCATCAGACACACCGCAACCGTCGATCAATTCGCACGCACGCGATTACTGGTACGCTCAGTGCATGGTGGCTTCTGAAGTCGTGTGTCATGTCTGTCATGTCTGTCATGTCTGTCAAGTCTGTCATGTCTGTCATGTCTGTCATGTCTGTCATGTCTGTCAAGTCTGTCATGTCTGTCATCTGTGTCATCTGTGTGATGCCCTAAAACATATAAATGACATTCACTTCTGTGGTACTCATAGGCCATTCTGAGTGGCCAGGAATGGGCAGTACCATTTAATTCTCATTTAATTGACATTTTGTTAACATTTAATTCATATTTAATTCACCTTAGTTGACAATTATTTAACATCTAATTGACATTCGCCTCTGTGGTAATCACAGGCCATTCTGAGTGCCAAGAAGTGAGCTGCGTGTCACGAAGTCTTTGGCAGTGGACTGTCACAATGTTTCTGCATTGGACTGTCACAATCCTTCTATAGCGGATTTGCTTTACACTTCAATTGGGCGGAGCCATAAGTCCCGATGAAGAGAGCGCGGCATCATGAATCACCAGCGTATTATACTCGCAGGGCAGTGTGGCATGCTAGGGCGTGCCCAGTCAAGAGGTCCTGTGGATCAGAATGACAGCCGCGATGTCTTAGGTCTCTTGGCTGCGAGTGTCCTGCGCCGCTGTTGATTCGGCCGTGGCATAGCTGGCGATCGCAGTGTCATCGCTTGGGCAATTGCGACCTGCGCTGTGTGCTTTATCTCTGTGCATTGGCTGTGTAGCCTTGCGTTGCATGAGTGGATCACGCATTGGTTGACTAGAGAGGTACCTGAGATACCGCTTGAACTGTGCTGAGGTGGTGCTGTTTGGAAGCGTTCCCTTGGCACTCCTTGCATCGCCCGCTCGCAATGTAGGTTCTGCGGATAAACTTTAACTACATCAGGACATTTGTTTATAGGTAAGATAGCCTCTGCGTCTACCTTGTTCTTATGTAGACCTTTGCGAAACTTCTTATTAAAAGCCTTCAATACGTCTGGGTCATCGAATGCCGATGGGGGTGGATCGTATTGTGCGCCATCTGCAAACTCCATTGTATAGTAAGTCATGTCCTCATGTTTGTACTTTCCAAGATTTTCTTGAACACATAAGACATAAGAGGTGTAGTAACTTCACGTGTGCGACGAGATGTGACCTGATATTAAGAGCACTTGAACCGTCAACATTGTTAACTTCGTAAGTTCTGTTCTTCTTATCGGCCACTGAAATCTTGAATGGTCACATATGCACAGTTGTGTCGGAGTTGCGAGTCATGATGTTGACTATATCGCCCACCTCAAACTCGACTATCTTCTTCGAATCATTCCATCGCTTCTGTCTCTTCTTGAGTGCGATGTCCTTCATCTCTCTCAAGCAAGACAAGACGACATCTCTGGTACGACGCATCTTCTCTAAATATGGTAAAACATGGTCTCCCTAAGAATCCTTGTTGAAAGGTACTTGTAGTTCACTTTAACGGCCCCTGAAATAGTGAGCGGGTGTTGTACCTGTTTCGTCCATTTGTTTCTGTACCCAGTTAATTGGGTATGGTCACATGCCAGCATTGTCTAGCAACGCTCCACGCATGAACTCCTTCATCTTTCTGTGTCGTACCTCATTCGCACCTTGTGTCTGAGGCTTATATGATACACCCATCTTGAGGCATGATCCTGCAACGTGTAAGAGTTTCGTCATGATATCTCCTATAAACTCACTAACGATGTTGGTACATACAATAGCTGGCCATCCGAAATCTGCGAAACACTTGTATATGCACTCAGCCACAGTGTGTTGATTTGTCTTTCAGAGGATATAGAACGTTATATCGTAAAGCAACATCAAACACGTGACAGACATACTTATCTTTCGTGTGTTCGGACATGGGTAGCACACTAAATCAATGATAACCCTGCGCCACGGCTCGTCTTCTGATACAATTTATAATGGGGCATATCCATAGCGCTTGATACGGTTATCTTTGCAGTCGTTGCATTTGTGATACACCTGAGATATATATTGCCTAAGCTTTGGGTGTACAATCCCTCAATCTTTCTCAGTCAAAACCTTGTACATGTGTTTAAGCTCATAATTTTGCGTTAACCACTTCAGAATGTCGTCCTCCGATGAACATGCTGAGTCAATGTCTGGAGGTTAGGATTCCACAACTATATCACTGGGACTTGAAGATGCGTCTGGCCCAATCTCGTCTGAACGATATTCCGTGTGAATTCTACTATTGTTCTCCTTGTCCATTGGATTAGTGACATGGTCGTATACATCTGGAAAATCGTCCCTGTCAGAACGTATCTTCTTGTAGAATTCTTTCGCTAGTGATGAGTTCCTCTTTGTTTCTGTAGGATCAGATTGTACCTCGGTGACGCATACTGCAGTTGCGTGTGTCGCCCCAGCCTCCCGTTGAAACTTGGATGTCAAGAATGTAATCTTGGATTCTTCAACATCACGCTTGAAGGTCTCGAATTGTGTCTATTTGGATGTTCCAACTGGACCTATTCGACATATGATTGTATGTCGCCAAGACGTCTTCTGAACTGCACGGGTACCCTGGTAGAGGAAAGTATCTACCTCTCTATCCACATATATGGGCTCACATTGTACCATCGATTTCAACTGTGGGAGCCATTTATCTGAATATCTTATGGGACAACACATCGTGATGGTAGCATCTTGTATATGTACATAATTCGAAACTGTGTTTATCAACAACCACGGTGGATTCGCCCATGCGTTCTCATCTGTTAAGTCGATTTGAAACCCATCACCGTGTGGATGTTTCAGAGTACGGTATCGCGGCAGCTGCACATTATGATGTGCTGCAAACATGTCAAGGGTATGTGGACCATATATGTTGTCGCAATCTTAACCCATTTAGGATTGACCATCCAATCCGTAGCTAGTAACTCTCGGGTCATCTTGTTGAAGTACGGTACAAAGTTTAATAGCCGGGCCTCCACATTAGACTCGATTAAACATACTCTTAAGCAGTACGTAAATTATAAACGTACTTTTTAATAGTACGAGGAACTTAAGTTTCGTAAATGGTTTTTAACGGTTTTATTAATTAATACCTTTTCCATTTTTTACATATCAGATATTTGGACAAGGCCATTAAAAGGCCCCAGTAAAATACCAAACATAAGATATGGTCTAGTTCTATTAATAAGAACTATATTTACTTTCCAAATCTATTTATATCTGAATACTTCGGTAGCGAGATGGCTCAACCGAATATATGTTTCTAGGGACTATTAACGTTACCTAGTTTATCCTCCGTTCAGCCAACCAGATGTGCCAGTCTAATGAAGGCTAAGTCGGTAATTCTTGATAAGTGGCAAGTTATAGGTTAAGCCAATAACTAAGGACATCAAGAGTAATTTCCCATTTTTTTTCTTCTCTTTTTTCTAAAGATAGGATTTTATGCGTCTTTCGGATTCGCCTCAACGACACATACACTGGTTTCTAATAGAGTAACAACGAAACGCTAAATAAAACCCCTTCCGCGAAAACAGTACTGAGAGGATTATATATAGGCAATGTCTCAGCCTCACAATCCCTCAGAGTATTGCTGTTTTCACGAGGCATACCTAATTTTACTAAAAGTCATTTCGTTTTTTACTTTGAAATTTTGAATATACCTACGCGTTTTTTTACTCTTAGGCGTTACTATCGCCTTAAAACACCGAATTTTACACATTTTAAAGTTAGGAAAGATATTAATTACTTAGACTACTTAGCGTAAAGGTAGATAACTACCACAATTTTTTTTCTTGTCCCAGCTAGTCCTTAAGAGACAAGCTAGCAGTCATAAGTTAAGTTTATGACCAAGAAAGACAATACTCGTTCTAAGAAGCGTTGAGCTGAAAAGAAGAAGATGGAGAGAGAAGTCGCTAGCGCTGTCGCAGCTACGGCCGCCGCAGAAGCAACCACCGCCGCTGCCGATGCGTTTAACCGCACCGTAGCCGAAGCACTTGTCTCCGACAATAATAGTCAACAGGACAATGCTTCGGATAAGGATGTAGCCACTCCGATTAAGGAGACTACTTGTTAGAGTGTAAGATGGTAGTCTTTGAATAAAGCGTAATTGTATATCTTTATTTACAGCCTCACATTTGGTTTTATACTTAAGGTGTTTGTGCTAGTGTTCAACCGCTTGGGTTGGCCAGGGTGAAAACTCATATGGTCAATATGAGAAACCTTTTGCAGAACACTTTAACACTTAGATATTGTTCTATAGCATAATCTCTGCTACTCGCTCTTACGCCGATCAATTAATGTTGCTTGGCTTTCAGAGCAATGCTCTCTTAGGTGTCGGCTTTCGGAGCAATTCTCTCATAGGAGCAAATGTATTATTAACATGATGTGATTAATAATTTGATCCGCTTTTCGGAGTGACGCAACTCTTGTGATTTCATTCAAGAAAAAGAGTTTTCTTGCTATTGAAACTTGCTTGAGATCTGTAGTCTCTCACTCTCCCTCAATTCTACAATCCTGAAGGGTCTGTACTCAGTGCACTGTGAAGTTTGAAGTCGCAGAGCTGGATTGTTGAATTGTTAACTTTGTAGAATTTTCGGTAGGGGTTTTTTTTAAAAAGTTGTCAACGCTGAGATTCTGAGACCTGTTGAATTCAGAAAAGATGTTGCAAAGTACCACTGTTGTGTGTAGATACCAGGCATATCCGTGTACTTTTGACACTTGACAGGCTTCACGACTTGCGTGGATTTTCTTCCGTTTAGAAACAGGCATCACGGGGTCGCAGGAAAAATAAAATTTAAAAATGGGCGGTTTTGGCAACAGGGGCCAGACAGTGTGAGAACTGTTTCGATGGTATGAATCCTTGGAGTAAGGTCCCTTCTGCGCCGTGGTTGTAATGAGACAAGCTTTTGTCTTCATGGAATGTGTTGATGATAAATCTTGGCGATGCTGCATACTCTCAACACAAATCGGGCTAAAAAAATTGTTTTGATCGAATCCACCGACAGAAATCGTTGTTGGATAAAATATTACCCACTTTAGGTTATAAAAAATAGAAGAAGAAAAATTGTATATAAAATAAACGAAGAAGAGTTCGTATCACAAATTTGACACACTGCTATGGAATAGTTGGATATACGTGCATAAAAACGTCCAATAAATCAGTGTTATTTGGACTATTCACTTTAAACTTGACTTTGGAATGCGGTATGGCGTAGAGTGCTTGCGACGTATATATTCGAACTAGGACACTGTTGTTTTTGTCATATTCAGTGTTGCGTTACTGGCATCCGATTTTCACACGCAATACATAAACATAAATTGGCATATATATCAATTGCGCAGAAAATTGATATTCAGTTTGATTGAAGTTAGTTCGCGCACAAACAACCAATTTTCATTATAGCAGTATGAGTTGCAAGTATTTTACTTTCTGAAGAAACAATAAAATACTTACCTTATATTACTTACCTTTATTAAAATTAAGTTGATATTGGTATTCTAGCCATCAGTTTATCTTGGATATTTGTGAACTTTTCTCGGCAAAGAGGCTTAGTGAAGAAATCGCTGAGGAGTTGTTCTGAAGGCATGCACTTAAGATCAATGATGTTGTTCGCTGTGAGTTCTCTGATATGGTGATAACGGAGGTCGACGTGTTTGGTACGGCGAGACTTAGTGATGCCGTTTCCCATCAGTATTGCTGACTTGTTGTCTTGTTCTATGGTAGTTGGGTTAGCGATTGGTATTCCAAATTCAATGAAGAGGTTCCTGGCACATTGCACGTCTTTTGCTGTGTCAGACTGTGCTACATATTCCGCTTCTGCAGTAGAGGTTGTTACTAATCTTTGTAAATTGGTTCCCCACATGAACGGTGCTCCTGCTATCAGTCCTTCTCGTCCTGTGGTGGAGCGTCTAGTTGTTTCGTCGGTAGCAAAACTACTGTCAGCAGTCAGGTGTGATCCCATTCCTGTAAGACCTCCTTGAAGTATTGTCGTTGATGCAGGCATAAAAATCCTGGATGTATTTCAAGTTCGCATTTGAGAAACCATAGAGGTATACCCATATC